GCTTTAACATGTGCTCTGCTGGACACTGATAGAAGTCACAAGACTGCTCTAACTGCTGATGAGAAAAGGAATTTAGCAGTTTATATTTACTAAAATAATTGTACTTCCTTATTCTGGGAGACCAGATATAGTGACTGCAGGGTCCTGGGTTTAGTAACACTTTAAGCCGGCCATATAGAAATCTTTTCTAAGAATTTTCGTTCAAATTTCGCACCATTAGTGGGCCACAGAAATGGCCGATTTTCGTGTGACCTTCAAATTTGAGTGATCAGGCCTGTTGGAAATTTTTTTTAAAAAGGAACGAATTTCTAATCAATGATGGGAGAATCACGCAAGAAGTATAATCGAAAAAGAAATGAACATGTGCTGTGACCTGGAAAGAAAAGAAAATTCTTGGCCATGAAAATTCTTTTCTGTAGCAACATGAGGTGACCCATGTATGGCCTGCATTACAGTGTGTTTTATGCACATGGGCAATTAGGGCACACAGCAGGTTACGGCAGCAGCAATCCACCAATTATTTCAGCTGGGATCACAGGTATATGGGAACTGCTGTGGCCAGTAACCTGTACAAAGTAATGACAGGTTGACAGGAGCCACGGCTGTTCGTATGTCTCTGGATACCCAGCGATTCAATGCAGCTCTAAGCCCTGGTTCACACTGATGCATCGTTTTCTGATGCGGTACGGAATTTGTGGCGTTTTCTGTGCAAATTCTGCAACGCTTCAGAATTGCACCCCGTTCATGCGAACTGCTGCGGCTGTGTATGTTAAGTTAACAACACCCTGCAAGTGGCCTGAAAAACGCTGTGCGATGTGCAGAATCGGATCGCATAGGTGTGAATACCCATGCCATCCGATTCTAGTGTGGACCCAAAAAAGGGTTCTGCACCCTTTTGGTGCAGTGCGGTGTGATTAGAGCCATACAAAATGTATGGCTCTGATTGCACCACGCACAAATCGCATGTGAATTGAACAGGAATGTGGTGCTGTTCCTGTGCGAATCACAAGCGATATACCGCACCACATATATGTGAACCCAGGCTAAAGACTGGTTCACACATTTTTTTTTTTTTGCACTGAGTCATCGCAGGTCCCTACAAGGGCACATAGAATAGTTTTTTCTATGTGCCCTGTTCATATGCCATTGCTGGTGTGTTGTGCGTGCGGTGCAGAAAAATGCATACATACTACATTATTCTGCAGCACACTTTGTGGCACTGTGCATTAACACAGTACAGGGTACGGCACTGTGCGGACACCTGAATGCAGTGTACACGTTGCACACTTCTAATGAAGTAAAAAAAAAACAACAACTTGTAAAATGCAAGGCACTGCTGCTACACAGTGGGCACCAGGCACATGTTAAAAACCCATTTTTTTTTTTTTTTTTGTGCAGATGCTGTGAACATACCCATTGGTCTAGTTTACACCAACAGCACTCTCTACTGCCCTTCTGAAAAGTAATCCACAGTGATCACTTTGCAGTCGGTGGTAGAGCAGTGGCCTTCAGGCTTGCAGGAGGTGATACTGCTGCTTCCTAAATGCCTTTTTGTTTTACTATTTTTTTTGTTTTTGTCAAAGGGTGTTTTGCATTTAATTATCGCACTGCAGCCGTGGCTTGCGTTTTTGATGTGGTCCCATAGACTCAATGGGCAAATTTTACAGCTGGGGCCACCTGTCAATCGCGACATGCCAAATGAAATTTGCTGTAAAGCATAAATTTGCAGCTGCGGCATGTGTATGACCCCCATCAACTGCATGTTATCTTTTAGGTGGGCAGTTGGGGATGGTAAAACTGCAACTCAACCACCTGCTTTTACCGCACAAATGCCGCTCATGTGGCTGCCGCAAAGCCTTCAGGATTTTAAAGCAGTGTGTGTTGACAGTTAGGGTTATTTTAGTTTTTGCGTTTCATGAGTGCATGCAATTATGAGGCTTGACATATTTGGTATTTAGCTGTTGACTTTTAATAAAAGGACACTTGCCTGTCCAGGGATACAGCGCTGTCCCCACTCACCCCATTCTTCTCTGGTCTTTAGGTCCCCTGTGCCCGCATCTTGGATGTGGGGAGTCGGCTGTGACTCCCTGCGGCTTCACAGCCAGTTGCTTACTGCGCATGCACAAGTTGCTCTGCTGTTTGTGAGTGGACCTGCAGCTTTCTGGGGCCTCTTACATGTACTAGGAGGTTGCAGGTAGGGAGGGGTGCCAAATTTATGCTGGAATAACTTCGGCTACAGGTATCAAACTGGCAGCCCTCCAGTTGTTGCCAAACTACAAGTCCCATGAGGCATTGCAAGGTTTACAGTTACAAGCATTACTCTCAAAGGCAGAGGCATGATGGGACTTGTAGTTTCGCAACAGCTATAGGGCCTCTAGTTTGACACCCCTGACTTATTGGAAGTGTGTACCTGCCAAAAATATTAGTGGGGGGGATTAGAAAAAGCAGAACTTCCTTTTTGGGGTAAAGTCTCATTTTTATCAGAAAGTTTGAAGATTATGTTGTGTTTTAACTTTTTATTTGCTTTCTTTTGGTCTTCTAAATATACAATTGAAAATGTTTTGTTTTCTTTTCATTTTTTGAACAGTCTTTTTTTTAATCTGTTGATCCTGCCATAGATATTACAAGCTAAGTTCCTATGCACTCAATGGTGTTACCAGTGCCCTGTTTACTTCTGTGAACTGTCTATTGATCCTGCCATAAATATTACTAGCTAAGTTCCTATGCACTCAATGGTGTTACCAGTGCCCTGTTTACTTCTGTGAACTGTCTATTGATCCTGCCATAAATCTTACTAGTTCCTATGTACTCAGTGGTGTTACCAGTGCCCTGTTACATCTGTGAACTATAGAACAGCCCCCATGTAATGGACATCCTGCCACAACATGTAAGTCAATGCTTCCTGGGATATCTGATATAGATATCACAGGTGGCTGCTGGAACAGGGGTGACATTATCCATTCTTAGAACACAATAGAGAGAGGAGGCTGGCCGGACCAACAATGCATATATAAAAAGAGTGGGAAAGTGTACTATGATGTTGTCTCTGGTATGAAGTGAAGGTCTGCTATAACTAGTAGTGAAATATTTTTTAAGGTATGTTTTAGATAGGAGGCAAAAAAAAAAAATTCTACCACCTGTAGAATACAACGACACCACATGCAGTGCACATAATAGTGGCATTACAGGTGGTGAGGATATAATGCTTCCTCACCACCTGTCAAGTGTCCTCTGAAAAGTAATCTGAATGCTGGTCGCTCTTTAGAGGGCACCACAGGTTGAAAGAGGCATAAATATATTTTGAAATACTTGCCATTGACTTAAAGTGGCAGTAAACTTTCAGAAGAAAAAAAACTTTCCCCGTGCACGGTAATATCATGATGTGCTAGTATGTATTGAATACTAGCACATTATGAAAGACGAACCTTAAATCGAAGTGGCACACTGTCACTGCTCACAAGGCTTTCATCTTCACCCGGGTTTCCTTCTGGGTTTGGCTGTTTGAAGTTCTGAGCCACGGTGACAACACTCCCATGCATGTGCATGGGAGCAACGGTCACGGCACCGCTCTCTGAAGGGATAACCTGCACTCCCTTCAGAACACAGTGCGCATGCGCTGGTGACCGCACCAGCTGCAGAAGTAGTGAATCTCTCATAAACTGTACACGACATTGCTTGCACCTCCAAGTAAGCTTTATTATAAGTGAGCAGGCGGTGCTTGCTACCACTTTAAAGCTGACATTTAGGTAAAATAAAACCAAAATATTCTCTACAGCTCAAGTGAGATAATTTACCTATAATGAAGGATATCGCACATTGTGCAGATGGCTGGATCCTGGAGAAATCTTCAGCGCAGGGATGCCCCTTCTTTCAACTTCAGCACTGTATTGATAAAAAGCCTCCTCCCTCCTCCTCCTCCTCTGCCATTGAGAAATGTTCTTTCATTGCTTTCACTGACTGTAACAAAAACTGCGAATGAAGGAAAAACAATCCTGTGACCCATCGGACTCTCCCTTGTCAAAAACTGTCTTTTATTTAAGGATAGTGATCATATGAAGTCATTTATTATCACACAGTTGTGTGGCTCCTTTTTAAATCATGATAACAGAAATCACTCAAATAGCCCTGATCAAATGTTTACATACCCTGGAATCCTTGGCCTTGGTTCAGGCACACAAGGTGACACACACAAGTTAAAATGAAAAGCCCAGGTTCACATATATGCGGCGCGGTATATCGCATGTGAATCACACAGGAACCGCACCGCATTCCTGTGTAAATCGCATGCGATTTGTGTGTGGTGCGATTGGAGCCATACATTTTGTATGGCTCTAATCACACTACATCCGCACCAAAAACGTGCAGTAACCTTTTTTGGTCCTCACTAGAATCATATCGCATGTGTATTCACACCTATGTGTTCTGATTCTGCACATCGCACCGCGTTTTGCGGACCACTTTCGAAGTGTTGTTAACTTAACATACACACCCGCAGCGGTTCGCATGAACGGGGTGCGATTCTGATGTGGTGCGGAATTCGCACAGAAAACGCTGTGAATTCCGCACCACATCAGTGTGAACCAGGACTAAAGGTTAATTTCACACATCTGTGACTTTTTAACCACTTGCCTACCAGGCACTTATACCCCCTTCCTTACCAGGCCAATTTTCAGCTTTCAGCGCTGCCGCACTTTGATTGACAATTGCGCGGTCATGCAACATTTGTACCCATATGAAATTTTGATCATTTTTTTTCTCACAAATAGAGCTTTCTTTTGGTGGTATTTAATCGCCACTGGGCGCTTTACTTTTTGCGCGCTATAAATAAAAAAATTGCAAAAAATTTGAAAAAAAAAAAAAAAGTTTGTTTCTTTTATAAAATTTTTCAAACAGGTATTTTTTCTCCTTCACTGATGTGCGTTGATGAGGCAGCACTGATGGGCACTGATAGGCGGCACTGATGGGCACTGATAGGCAGCACTAAAGGGCACTGATAGGCAGCACTAATGAGGTGGCACGGATAGGCGGCACTGATAGACAGCACTAATTAGGGGTCACGGATAGGCGGCACTGATATGCAGCACTGATAGGCAGCACTGATAGGTGACACTGATTATGGGTACTGATAGACGGCACTGACTGGCATCACTGCTGGGCACTGACTGGCGGCACTGACTGGCACAAACCCCTGGGCACTGACTGGCGGCACTGACTGGCAGCACTGCTGGGCTGCACTGGTGGGTGGCACTGGTGGGCAGCACTGGTGGGTGGGCACAGGGGGGTGGCACTGCTGGGCACAGGTAGGTGGCACTTCTGGGCACAGGTAGGTGGCACTGCAGAGTGGCACAGGTGGGGGCACTGCTGGGTACAGGTGGGTGCACTGCTGGGCACGGGTGGGCGGAGCTAGTGGGCGTCACTGCTGGGCACCGATCATCAGGGCACTGATCATCAGTGCCCTGATGATCGGTGCCGATCCCCGCTCTGACAACTGCCGGTTCTCGGCAGTACTTTCCTCACGATCTGACAGCGTGAGGAAAGTGCAGCCGAGAACCGACACTTGCATTTCCCTGTGATCAGCGTGTCATTGGACACCGCTGATCACGTGGTAAAAGACCGCTGTGATTGGCCTTTTACCACATCACGTGATCAGCTGTGTCCGTAGGACACAGCGATCACGGAGATCGCCGGGTGCGCGCCCCCTGGGGCGCGCAGGAGAGAGGAGAACTGGCCGGCCGCGGTGAAGCCGTCATTCGGCTATGCGCGGTCGGCAAGAGGTTAAATTGCAGTTAGTGACTGTGTTTAAATGGTCAGTGAGTTTAACTGTCACGTGGATGCACTGAATAGGCTAGATAGTGAGCCATAGGGAGCAGAAAAGAACTGTTAAAAGACCTGCATAATACGGTAATGGAACTTTATAAAGATGGAAAAGGATATAAAAAGATATCCAAAGCCTTGGATATGCCAGCCAGTACTGTTCAATCAGTTATTAATAGGGATATTGCTTGTACGGGCGGCTCTGAAAAAAAAACGGGGTGGTTTTTTTTTTGTTTTTTTTTTAAGGAGCACAATGCGATAATACTTGAACAAAATTGACCTGCATGGTCGAGCTGCCAGAAAGAAGCCTTTTTCTGCACCAATGCCACAACAAAAGCCCAGTGAGGCATGTCAAGGTGTTGTTGGGCATAATGCAACTGGAGTTTTTGGTGGCGTTGCCGCATTTTAACCTCCACAGGATTTTACTGAGTTGAGTTCAGGGGCTTTGGCAAAAACCCCCCCCCCCAAAAAAAAAACACCTAAAGCTCCTAAACTTATGGTTAGGAGCAGCAGTGTGCATGAGGCCTAACACATTGTAGACTAGGTTTGATGCTACACCGACTAATGAGACACCGACTAATTGTTCAAGGTTTTATAGCATATTGGGCACAGGTTACTATATAACTGATAACAATGTTGTTATTAAAGCCCAGGTGAAACCTTAGAAATTGCAAACCACTGATGTACAGAGCAGGGGCGGACTGACCATTTGGAAACTCGGGCACTGCCCAAGGGCCCGGGGTCAGTAGGAGGCCCCATGAGATGCCCCTGGTACCTTTTTCATAGGCTTTTTTGAGTTTGGGCAAGGACACGGGCCCCATGATCCTGTATTGCCCAGGGGCCCCATGAGTTGTCAGTCTGCCCCTGGTACAGAGGGGATTGGGACTGTTTGGGAAGCTGAAGAATATGGATGAGTCTGGAGTAAATCTCAAAATATAGCAAAATTAGGATCCATTCACACTTATGCATTTGTTTTCATGTATTTTCAGTGAATCTTCCATCCATGTCCACTGGACAAAAAGCTTTTCCGCTCCTTTTTTGGCAATTCATGTAACAAAGAGAAGACGGGAAAGAATGCACTCTAGGGCAGGTTTCTTTGTTTAGTACATGTAAGCACTATGGGGGGGCCATTGAAAATACACCAAAACCCATATACACACAGGGTGACAACACAGAAATACAACTGGGTAGACACCTGTCACACCATGACAGGAGATGCCTGAACATGAGCATTAATGTTGGGATTGCATGTATTATTTAAATGAAAGATAAATATTTAGGAATATTGAAAACTGTTATTGTAATAAAATGTTATTGCTTTATAAGATTTTATTGATTGCGTTTAAATCTACTTTAATAAAGTAATTTTCTCTACTGATGTCTGTACAAATAATCTGCTGTGCCACCATAACAAACTGTTTTATTTTATATCTAGTGAAAATGGTGCTTTTTGTAAACTAGCTCAAACACCTTCTTAACACCTTTACTGTTACATTCTCTCAACAGGTCCAGCATGTCTGGCCTGCACTTAGTAAAGAAGGGCCGAGAGCACAAGAAGCTTGACCTCCATCGAGACTTCACTGTCGCTTCTCCAGCTGAGTTTGTGACACGGTTTGGTGGTAACCGCATCATTGAAAAGGTGCACTCAGTTTTGTTATGATTTTAGAAAAATAGGAAAATGATTGACCTAGTCCAAAGATTAGTGAATGTATGTTACTAACAGAAATTAAAGTAAACTGCAGCCAAGCAATAAAACACAGCTGTTATTCATAATGTTTACTTAAACCATTTCACATGCCAAAATATTTTAAGCCCAACTCTGTGAAAATTTAAAATCATCCCTTGCAGGGGGGCTGCAAACACACTACAGGGTAAAAATAGGGACTCAGCTTAATAAGAAGAGCGGCTATTGCACTAAAAAGGAAAATCATATGCCTTCAAAACAACAGATAAATATGAAATTGTGCAGCACTAATGACTAAATTTCCTCAAAATGGACAAATAAAATGCCAATTAATGATCCAAAATGAAATAAAATATGTTGGTGAATCATCAAGATAATAAATAAATAATGGTAAATGTCCAAATAAAAATGATCTAAGTTCAAATAAGTATCAGTGGTTTCAATAATTTCAATAATGGTGACTCTTGTATTCCCAGTCGTGTACAATCAGATATTCCGGTGAAGTGCGGGGTATAGATAAAATGCACACTCACCAGATGCACATTTTGAAAGCACAATGTGTAAATAAGTGGTAATCAGCCGGAAATCCCTCTATGGTAGGATGGAATGCAGCCCAGAATGGATAGCCCTCCTCTGGAGTTGGGATGATAGGTAGTCAGCCAGAGGTCCCCTTTAAGAATAAGCTGGAACGTGGTGGATTACCCTCTTCCGGATACTGGGGTGGTCACCAAGGTATTCTGGGAAATTAACAGCTGTCTGGGCACTCTGCTGCTCTTTGCACTGGCTCCTACAGGGGTTAATGTCTCGTTTTGGTCTAGGGGTCACAGCAAAGATAATTTACTTGCCCAATCCTCCGTGCTTCTAATGCAGTTCCTGCAGTGTCTTCTTCCCCATGCTTCAGCGGTGTAAGGTCCTGACGTAATCAATAACAATGCAGGGTTCATAGCTTTGCATTGGACAGAACACAGAGGGATATTCCACTGTGAGAACATGGGGGAGCAGTGCCTGCCAGGGAAGCAGAGTATCAGATAAGTAAATGCTCTTTTCCTCTACCCTAGACACAATGAGCAGTTAATCCTTGAGGTGCATCACAGCCCCATTGCAAGGAATCATTTTAAAGTTTTCCAGAGTTGGACTTTAATTCTGTTCAGTCACTCCTGTGATTTAAACACCCCTGCCACTACATATCCTAAGGAAGGCCACTGCCACAGCATATAATCAGGACACCACTACTCAGAGGCTGCAGTTTCCTGTAACCTAAAGCGTTATCAGTCCATCTGTGTTCTTCTTTCTGTGAAGGTCAGCACACACATTACATTCTATTTCTATAATTTTCTTTGGGTCTACCAACAATTATGTAGTGCAAGGGCCTGCGCAACTGGACACGAATTGCATAAACGCTGAATGTCCTAATTCTACATAGTTTTGGTTTATCTAAAGTTGACTGTTCAAAACTTACAGTCAGATTGTAATGAGTATGGTGACCTTAAGGGCCAGTTCACACCAGAACATGGTGTGGGAAAGGCGTACCGTGTGCATTTTCTGCACCACGTTCAAAACACAATGCCTTTGTGATCTGCTGCGGCTGCCAATACACTGTTGGTGGCACCCCAAACACAGATTTCAAATGCAGTGTGATTGCCTGCACCAGAACGCATGGGTCCACAGTACAGTGCACTTCAATGCTTTTTTTTTTTTTTTTTTGAAAAGTAGTGCACTACTTATTTTGTGGTTTCAGCCCATTCAAATGAATAGGCTGCAAAATAGCCCCACACTGAATCATACAGGAATGCAGACAGCTTTCCTGTGTGATTCAGGGAAGTACCAGCCCTAAAACCCCTGTCCAGCCTGAAGAACATAAGCCAATCTGAGGGAAAGTTATTAAGATTGGAGCAGCTGATTGTTTTTTTTTGCTGATAGCGCTAAGTGGTTATAGCCCTCCCCTCCCTCAATCCCTCAGTGGTTGAGTGCAGTTAACTAGGTATTGCCTTACGAGATACTCATTTATGAAAATAGAGGCTGTCCCCTTAATTATAATATGATATGGGATGTGTGGTGTGCTTCCCCCCTAACTTTAACATCCTCTTGAGACAAGGTATCTTCTTATATACTACCCACACTCCTGGATACCTTGGTGCATGGAGGATTGATAGACGGTCATATATGTTGTCATAACTTCAGGAAAACTTGTGTTAAAATAATTTATGTACCAATGTTTATTGCACTTTACGTATGCAGGGCTTTACAAAATGCAGGTAGACATTATAGATGCAATACAATTTGGTACAATAGGAAACAGAGGGCCCTGCTTGTTAGAGCTTACAATCTAAGAGGAAGGGTTGAGTGATACAAAAGGTAATAGCTATGGGGGATGTGCTGATGGAGGAAATAAGAGGCAGTTTACTAGTTAGAAGCAGACCTTTAAAGAGGTTTTAAAGAGAAGGGTTTTCACGGATTGTCTAAAAGTGGATAGATTAGAAGATAGCCGGACAGATTGGGGTAGGGAGTCTCATAGGATGGGCAAAGGTCGGGAGAAGTCTTGGAGGTGAGCATGAGAAGAGGTGACACGGGAACTAGAGAGCAGAAGGTCTTGGGAGGATTGAAGAGAGTGGGTTGGTTGATATTCTGAGACCAGGTAAGTGATGTAGCTGGGGGCAGAGTTGTGAATGGCTTTGTAAGGTCGTATTTTGAATTTTATTCATTGGGCAAGTGGAAGCCAGTGGAGGGATTGGCAGAGAGGGGTAGCAAACAGTGCTAAGGTGGATGAGCCTGGCAGCAGCATTCAAGATGGACTGGAGTGGGGATAGCCTATGTAAAGGTATGCTAATGTGGAGGGAGTTGCAGTAGTCGAGGCGAGAGATAACCA